TCCTGACAGATTTGGGTTCTCACAGCTCACGACATCCAGTGTTTAATTGCTATAAAATTCAAACCCAATGGAATAACTGCAACTGCCAGCGAGGTGTTTGGAGTGCAGAGTGGCTGTGACAATGCTGGGGACTCTTTGTTTCTTGTTTCTGAAGGAAACAAGTTCCAAAGAAACTTTGAAGGTGGATATTAATGCCTGTTCTAATCAGTCCTCTCAAAACCAACCGGGGGAGTTTAAGGCTTGCAAGCTGCCTGTCACCTAGTGATTGCTGCAGAAGGAGACACTTCAGTGTCTCAAAACAAGCAGCAAAGCTTGCACTCCACGAGGGATCCATGCTGCAAGGGGCTTTATTATTTCCTAGGCTGTGCTGAGTTCATGGGGATGCACAAAAATCTGACTTCTCTAGTCAGGAAGAGGGCATGTGAACATCTCTCAGATTCTGTGTGAGCTGATTACAGGAGAAGCAGCACGTTCCTCAGGCAGAGCCTGCCTCTTGCTTTTATTTGCCTGAGCACCTGGACTGAAACCACAGTAAAAATAGCAGCTAAATGCTCCAGAGTTGTGTGTTCTCTAGCAGAGTGCCTCCTCTGTTGTTTTACAGCAATCTCTCTTGGAGCTAATCACCAGCACTTTGAGTAGGTCTCATGCTTGAGATCATTGTGTTATATGGTACATAGGGGTGTTTCCCCCCCAGCTATAGCTGTGTTAATAGGAACCACTTGCCAAGGTAATTTTTCAACACAGATGATGGCTACTCCACCATGACTTCTTCATTTTCTTAGGTCAATGAATTTCCTGCCTGGTATTTGAAATCCTGTAGCATCTGTTGCAATCCAGAATATAGCTTTTTTTTTGTGTGTCTGTGAGAGAGAAAAGGTGGATTTAGGTGAGAACAGCCATAAGGGGTGAGGTCTCAGCTTCCAGCAGCTGTTCTTCTTTCAGGTCTCATGTGGAACAGGAGGTAGGAGAACCCTTGGTAGCACAACCAGTGATTGCTGCTGGTTATTTTTCAACCCCAGAGACACAGGAGCCTCCTCAGACACTGCTCAGGATCGAGCTGCTGGTTATATGGATACGCAGAGTCTAACTTTACAGCTTGAAATCCTCATAAACTTATTTGGAAGCTTCTTCTCACCCACGTAGGGAGGCTAAAAGAGTTTGCATAATGTTTTGCTGTGTGTTCAAAACAGCGTCTGGCAGTGACTTGGAACATGTGCTAGCTCCAGCAATATGTGAAACAAGCAGAGGTGGGAAATCTTCCTTTTGCTCTTCTCACATCCCTGCCATTCTCAAAAGAAGATCCTGGGCAGCTTCTTACCCTGTTGTTACCCAGATTTCTCTTAGATAAAATATCCCTGTACAAATTGAAATGTTTGGGTGGGGGTTTTTTTTGTCCTTTTTAATGCTTTTTAATGTTCCAAACTGCAGCAAAGGATCTGGTAGGAGAGGATTGCTGAAACTGGAAGGGTCCCTACCTGGGATCCAGTCTGCAGTAAGGGCTGGGAATTTGGTGGGGCTGTCTCTGCAGCATCATCCATAGAAATATTCTAAATTGGAGAAATATTCTAAATTGGAGAAATATTCTCAACTGGGCAACAATAACCAAGGGTAGTCCCCATCCCCTGCCACAGACCACAGCCAAAATCCTTGCCAGAGAGCTGCACTGCAAAATTCTTTAGGATGAAAAGAAGGGAATGAAGATCTGGCTCCCTGGCAATAGGAAGATGGGACCTTCTTCTTCTTCAGAACTTTTCTCTCTTCTTAAATACATTAAATGCTTGTTGGGAATTTGCCAACTCCCTATTCCCCTCAATTCCTCTATTTTTAAAGGCTATCTAAAAGTTACAAACTGGAAAGACACAACTCAGGAGCTGAGTGTTTCCCTAAGTGCACAAAGATCTGGACCAAAGGATCTCTCCATCCCAGGGATCTCTGGATGGAGTCTGTGCCCTTGGCCAGAACCTCTGCTGCCTGTTTCCTCCCTGCCCTGCATCCCTGTTGCTAACTGAGATCTCTGTCAGGCTGGGGATGAAATGAATCACTCTTGACACAAGTGTAGGGGCTGTTTGGGTTTGTGAAGAAGGCACCAGCAGCTTTTGGTGGAGGTTTTACCCCGGGTAGGCTCCTGCTCTGGACAGGGCAGCAGCATACGTAGCACTGGGGGATTCTCTGGGGTGTCAGACACTATAGAAATGTAAAATGTTGCCACAGCAACCAAATGTCACACGATTCACTTGTGAGATGAACAACAGATCCTTAGGAGATCCCTTTTTTGGTTTCTTTTTTGGTAAGTCTCCATTCTCAAGATGCTTTATTAAGTTGGAGGCTGTTTGTTAACAGCGCTGGAAGTTTTCCCCTCCTCGCCCTGGGAATAATGGGTGTGGGCTTCAATCTGAGAATAAAACCTTGGAGGGAGGGGGGAAAAAAAAGGACTTTAAGCAATGAATTCCTTCTCTGGGTTAATTTTCAACGCTGCTGAGGGGGAGAGGTGGGGGTGGCAGGGAGCACAGCTCGGATGGGAGCTGCTGAGCCAGCCCCGGGCTCCGGCTGCCACCTACCGACAGCTCGTCGGTGCAGGGGCCAGCTCTGCAGCTGCAGCTCTGCTGACAGCTCAGGACACTTGGCTGAAGGGCTAACTCCCTTTTAAATTCAATCTTTTATGAGCTTTGCTTCCAAATTGTCATTAATCAGGCCAGGAGGAGTGGGATTTCTCACGCGGTGGAATTGCAGGAGGGTCTCATTCAAACGTTGTGCTTTCCTTTCAGTCAACAATGTGGGAGTTTCATATGCTTATCCTGAATATTTTCTGGATATTCCAGACCTGGATAAGGTAAGTGCTTTTGTAGTACCTTCTAGGGGTGGTCTTAGCACTAAATGCTTCGTGGATATGGAAAAAAAATCTGTAGGTTTGGTTAAGGTACCCCTAGAACGGGGTTTGCTGGGTAGGATTAAGGGTTGAAAAAGCTGAGAGCTTTCCATAAGCAGCACAGCAGAGTCCCAAGGATGGAAGTCTCAGGTGTTTGTGTTATGTTTTCTGCACCCTCTTCCCTGCTTCTTCATGTTGTGTTTCTGACAGACAAGCTCTGGGGTCACTGTGTGAATTCCTCTCCTGTCTGTGGTCTCATCTGGCTGCTGTCCATGAGCTGCTTTAGGGTTTTTTGGGTTTCTTAAGTGACTGAGGGGAAGGGAAGCCAGTAACTTAATGAATGGCATCTTTTACTTCATAACAGCATTAAAAAACTTTAATGTGACTATTTTAGGCAGCTCATAATCCAAGGATAGTCTTGGTGGCATGGGGTACATTGAAAACTCAGAATCTGAACGATGCCACTGGGGTGAGATTTTGTTTGCAGACCCCCCTGTGGGTCAGTGTCTCCCCTGTGGGTTTGTGTTTGCTGCTCAAGCATTGATCAATGTGTGGGGGTTTTGATTCACCTCCAAATAAGCTTCATAATACTATCAAAAAATCCCTTTTTTTTTTTTTTTTTTTAACTGGATGAACAGACTTCACCCAAGTCAGTGAAACACTGAAGAGCAAAATACAGACTGAGATTTATGAACATGTCTAAAAACATCAGAATTTCTGAAAGTTCCTGAGGATTGCCCATGGTGTTAGGAAACACAGTGCCCGTGTGAGTGAGGGTGGATGTCTAAGGTTTAATTTATCCTGGCATTTATTTTGAAACTTAAACCTGGAGGGCTATAAATATCAATCAACTAATCTAGAACAAAACCCCCAACTTTGTTTTCTTGCAGACAATTGAAAATATGATCAACGTTAACATCATGGCTGCTTGTAAGGTGAGTGCCCTGTTCCCAGTGCTGGTTCTTCATCTCCTAATTCCATACCAGTGAATAATTCCATTTGTCTGGAGCAGTTACTTAGGGCACCAGAGCTGCTCAGTGACTATAGGGCAACGAGGCTGGTGGGGGGCCTGGGGAACATGGCTTGTGAGGAGCAGCTGAGGGACCTGGGCTTGTGTAGCCTGGAGGAGAGGCTGAGGGGAGACCTCCTGGCTCTCTGCAGCTCCCTGAGTGGAGGCTGGAGTGAGGTGGGTGTTGTCTTCTCCCAAGGAACCAGTGATAGGAGAAGAAGCAATGGCCTCGAGTTGCATGAGGGGAGTTTTATATTGAATAGTAGGCAGAATTTCTTTCCTACCAGAGTGGTTCAGCATTGGCCCAGGGAGGTGCTGGAGTCCCCATCCCTGGAGGGGTTCAAAGAACCTGTAGATATGAAACTTGGGGACATGGTTTAGTGGTCATGGTGGTGTTGGGTTGATGGTTGGACTTGATCTTAGAGTTCTTTTCCAACCTTAATGATTCTATGATTCTACTTCCACCTGTTGGACAACAGGTTTGTCTTGGAGTAACCCAGAGGTGAAGGTTGTCCTGTCAGACTGCTCTGGTGGTTGTATGAAACCACATTTGTTGCAAGGATCCCTGGGAGCTATTTGTTCTAGCAAAGTATGTGCCCAGACCAACACTTGGTGCTTCTTCTGCTTGTTGTTCTGCACCTTGTTTTTATTGAGAAGAAGTCCAACTGACTTCAACTAAATCAATCATTTATTAACATCAGGCCCATTCAGAAAGCAGCTTTTTATCCTAATATTTCCCATTTTAGAAGGGGCAGAGGGAACAGCAGCTGCTGCCATGGCACAGGGAGGGCTGAAGAAACTCCTTGTGGTTATTTGCTGCTAAATAATCTTGGTCCTCACATCCATGAGCCAAACTTGCATCTTCTTGTTGCTCTCCTGTACGATCTGGGCTGTGCCAGCAGAGGGAGTGCCCTAACCAGTGATGAGGGAATTGGGGGTGCCAGCCTCCCCAGGAGACTTTGCTTGGAGTGGAAACCTGACTGAACTCCTTGAATCCCTATTTAGTAGGGCACAATAATCCTTTTTTCAAGAGAACCCACAGAATTAGAGAGAATCAAGGTAGGAAAAAAGGACTTTGAGGACAACTCTCTATATCCTTTCACTTTTTTTTGAGGGGGGCCCATAATCCTGTGAATATTTAATTCAGTATCTTAGATTGATACCAGCTCTTATCCAGGACTGTGTGTTTGAAAACAAAATAGAATAATCTCCCTTCTTGCTTGGTTAGAAGGATGAAGTTTGGGATGGAAGGGAGCACTGAGTTTGTAAGCAGGGAGGTGTTGGTGGTGTCCACTCAGGCTCTGCTCACAGCATCTCCAGGTCCTCACCAGAGCCAGTGTACTGTGACAGGGAACCCCTCAGCTGGGAGCCCAGCAGGAGAGAGTTGGGGTTCTCCAGCCTGCAGAGGAGAAGGCTCCAGGGATAACTCCTGGTGGCCGTGCAGGACTTCCAGGGGCCTGTCAGAAAGCTGGGGACAGACATTGAGCAGGTGGTTGTGACAGGACAAGGGTGATGGTTTTCAACTAAAAGAGGGAGATTTATACTGGATATAAGGAAGAAATGTGTGATGCTGAGGGTGGTGAGCCCCTGGCCCAGGCTGCCCAGAGAGGTGGTCACTGCCCCATCCCTGGCACCATCCCAGGGGAGGTTGGCCGGGGCTCTGAGCACCCTGCTCTAGCTGGGGATGTCCCTGTCCCTGCAGGGGGCTGGACTGGGTGACCTTGGAAGGTCCCTTCCCACCCAAACCAGTCCACAATTTCAGTTATCCCTTAGCTTTTGACCCATCTGTTTCTTTGCTGGGCAGCTCATGGGATTTCTTGAGGGATATGCAGCATGTTAGAAGGGTGCTGGGAGAAGGGACCCCACCTTCACCTCAGGGGGTGAATGCTCAGCCTGGCTGGTCCTGCTGGCCAACACTTCTCCCATGTGTGAAGGATCTGATGCTTTGGAATTTTCCTTGATGTTTGAGAACTTATTTCCTCTTGGAGCTTCTAAACATCTATCTTTCCCAAATCCTGTTCCAAGCCACCTGTCCCTGTCAGGTCCTTAGGGCATTGTTGGGTTGAGTCACCTGTGAACCAGTTTTGGGTCTCATTTAGTCTGGCATGAAGTGTTGTGATGTTGGCAATCCCATGTCTTGTACACTGCTGGTTATAAAACCCAACCAAACACCCCCCTGTCTGCAGCCAGAGGAGCTTCTCCTGAAGCTCCCTGGGGAATGTCACATCTCCCTGCTGATGTGCAGTGCAGGAGTTACTCATTCTTCACACAAAATACAAACCAGAAGTGCCTTGGGGTCCTGATGGTGCCATAAATAGAATGGAGAGGTTTTGTATTTTCTCAGGAAAGCTTGAGGGTTCACAGAGCCTTGCAGAAGGATTGAGCTGACAGCTGAGTGAGGAAGACAACAGGGTACTATGTGAAGTTTCATGGCTCCTGTCATCATCTCATCTCAAGCTGCTGGGGAGATTTAAAAAGCAGAACTTTTCCTTCATGCTTCTTGGTGGCAGATCAGGTAACGTGTTTGTGTGATGACTTTTTGATACCTCAGCACGTTTTGAGGCACAGACTAAAGAGGTTTCTGACAGGGTGTAAGGTATCAGGCCTAAAGCCCTGGGGTTCTTCACTAACGAGCAAATGTTGAAGAACCAGAACTGTAGTTGCCTTGTTGAGTTTTCATTTATAGTTCATAGAGTCAGAGGATGGCTGAGGTTGGAAAGGAATTTAAAGATCAACTAGTTCCAACCCCCCTGCCATGGGCAGGGACACCTCCCACCAGACCAGGTTGCTTCAAACCCTATCCAAGCTGGTCTTGAACACCTCCAGTGATGGAGCATCCACAGCTTCCCTGGGCAACCTGGGCCAGTGTCTCCTCACCCTCACAGTGAAGAACTTCTTCCTTCAATCTATTCCAAATCTCCCTTTTTCTAGTTGGCAGCCATTACCCCTTGTCCTATCACTACAAGCCCTTGTAAAAAGTTCTTCCCCAGCTTTCCTGTAGGCCCCCTTCAGCTACTGGAAGGTTGGAAGTTCTCCATGGAACCTTCCCATCTCCAGGCTGAACAACCCCAACTCTCTCAGCCTGGCCTTAGAGTTGCTTGTGCCCTGGAGAGCCCTACATGGCTTTTTGTCTTTGGTGTGCATTGGAGAGGATCACAGTCAGTTGGAACCTAATTCTGAGGGAAGAGGCAGCACTGATTTGGGAGATCACCCTCTTTGTGTGTGTTCCAGTCTGGCCAAGAAGTTTCTTTACCTTTGTATCCAAAATCATCATCAAAGAGGGGATGATGGTTTAGCCAAGTACATAATATAACTTTTTAGCAGAGAAGGACAGTTGACAACCCTTGGAAGAGGAGCACGTGTTCCATGAAGTAGTCATGGAGATGGTCCAGAGGGAGAAATTAAACACTGGTGCTTCTCAGCTCCTTGGCTTTGAACTTGAGAGCTTGGTGCACAGGAACCTGCAAGGAGGGAGGTGCAGCTGGAGGAGGAGACTTCTCAGAGATGGTCAGGGAAGCACTGGGGATTTTTCTTCCAAGTACAGTCAACCTGGAGAAGTTTAGGAGAACCTGGAGTTTTGCAGCTTCTTGCTGGAAGTTTGGAGTTAAATTTGTAAATCTGGAGTTGTGTAGGTCTGGGGTTGAGGCAAGGAACTGTGGCACAGCTTGAGAAGAGAAAGTTCAGGCTTATTGTTGGAGGGAAGGGCAGGGGAGAGGAGGTTGCTTATTTTGAGAGCTTGCCCTTCTAAACTCCAAGAGTCTGTGGCTCTAGCCAGGGAAAACTTTCCCTCCTAAAGCTGTTGTTCAGAAGGAGGTCCCTGCCAACAACCAGGGCGTGCAGCACGATGTGGTTGCAGTTCCCTCTGTACACCCCGAGCCCCTTTCTGGTTCCTGAACTTGCCCCCTGGGCTACTGTGTGATTTTTATATTCCATTGAATGGTTTGTACTAATGAATGAAATTAATTGTAAATCCATGGCCATAATTACAGAGCATTTTCCCTTTGGGAAGTGGAAGGAGTGACCTGCAGTCCTGACATCACCCCATAGAATGATTGGTCTCTAAACACACAGTGCTGGTGGTAGATTTCTGGCTGTAAGAACTCCATGAGATGTCAAGGATGACTTTTGAATATTTATCTTGGCTTTTCCTGCTGCTTTTCAGCCATTGGC